CCCCCCCCCCCCCCCCCCCCCCCCCCCCCCCCCCCCGCCCTCTCTCCTGACAAAATAATCAATAATTGAAGAATAATTTACCATGGAAATAATTGAACGAATTGTGCAGATATTTTGTTTTTGTCATAAAAACTACAATACGAGACTCAGTACGACCAAAAAACGTTTCTCAGGAAATAAGTATACTACTCAAGCAAAGTTCGGCCAAAAAGGAAAAAAAAAAACCTCAACCTTGGCGTCGTACCGGATGTAGCCATAACTTGTCCAATGCCACCAGCCGTAGCTGTTGCGACGGTGATCGCTGTCGGCGATAACAAAATCAAAAGTACAAACATCCTGAAAATGAAATTGGGGCGAATTTTCGCCAAAAAAAAGATGGATTTTCGCCAAGATTTCGAATTCAGTAAGTGTTAAACCCCAACTGATAAGCCAAGTTAGCTAGCGCCAAAAAAAGAACATAATCTTTCAAAAACAATTTCTACCGCACAAAAAATCGTCTCGGGATATGGAACACATTTTAGGTCGTGCTAGAAAACGAATCATCGAATGTATTCGTAAAAAACCTCAATTTTTGCAGGTTTTGTAAAATTTTTGTAGAAAGTCCTAATTTTTGTAAAAAAAAAAAAAACCACGCCAGCGAATGGTAACTAGTTGAGCAGTATTTCGACCCCTTTAGTTGTAAAAGAAGGATGATTAACCTTATTACAGATCGGACAAAACGTGAAATAACGAAATCTATATCAGCATCACTTTTTGCCGCATCATTTTTCTTTTTGTTCGCTTCTGCTATCAACGTATTCAGCAGCGTATCTATGTGCTGAAACGCCCCCATCATCATCAAATTTTTTTCGCAGCAATAATAATAACAATACTAACAATTTTGATGACAACAATGATAATAATAACAGTAACGACAGACAAAAAATCAATGTCGACAATAATAATAATTCTTCATTTTTTTTTCAAATTTTTAAATCTTTAAAAAATTTAAAACAATAATAAATTAATAATACCTTTAAGGTTTTAACTTTAAGTTGAAGTTTTAAGTTAAATTTTGAAATTTTAAGCTGAAATTTTAACTCTATTAAAATTTTAACTTACAGTCTCCGAGCATTTGGCGAGTAATACGAAGACAAATTTATCGAGATGTGAGCAACCATGCTGCTGATTGAAATGGAACACCTCCTCAATAATAAGCGCATCACTGAAAAAAAAGAACTTTTTGTGATTTATTAGCATCAATGACATTCAACTCACTATCTCCCACGTAAAATTTCCAAAATAAACGACTTGTTTTAGGAATGTTTTTTCCCACTTCTTTTTTTCTCTTTTTTTTCCGAAGATATCTCCTACTTTCTGTTAATGTTTGAAAAAAGTAACAGGAAGTAGTTTTGAAAGCCGTAAATTCCTACTTTTTGCATTCTTTTTGAAATTTGAAAAATATTTCCATTTAGTAATATTCTTTTCCAAAAGCCCAAGAATTTCTACTTTAAGCCATAAAAAAACCGTGAAGTTCCTACTTTAAGCCGTAAAATTCCGTAAATCTCTACTTTTTGAGAAAAAGTAGCAAAAATCTTTCCATTTAATAAAATGTTTCTCCCCAGTTACTTACGGTGCAGTACGGACACTCAGATATTATCAATATGGAGCATTCCAAAGAACACCCACTGGTCACCAAGACTAAAGGCTGAACATAAAAATCCAGAGCTGAAAGTATGCCACGAAGTCTTCCAGTTATCAACAATATAGGGTCACACAAAGTCCATTCTGGTTTTACTTTTACCGTTTCAACATCACAAGGAGGCCCCCCTCCCCTTCCACCCCTTTTTCCAAGGATAAACTCTTTTCGCATTTTTTAAGTCAATTTTTTAAAGGACCTTTTTTTAAGGATCCCTTTTTCTCCCCCTCCCCCCCCCCTTGCTCTTCCCTATTAAAAAAATAATGGCAGCACTGTCCCCCCATAAAGCTCAAAATAATAAAATTATAAGCATTGCTCGCAAAAATAAACAAAAATATGACACTAACTTTTGTAATCCTTTCACACCCAGCATTACCAAGCTCTTAACGGCACGCCAATCCGAAAGAAGTCTGGCGAATGCACTACGAGCAAATCGCGGTGGATCAAGATCATGTTCCGGAGCGGCGTCTGAAAAGTTCCCTTTTTATTTTTAATATTTTTTTTTAGACATTCTTATTTTAATTTAATATTATCTTTAATGCTTTAATATTTTTTCAAAATATTTCTTCAACATTTTTAGTATTTTTTTTTGATGTTTTTAATATTAATATCTTCAATATTTAATGTTTTCTATTTTTAACTTTCCTTTTATTTTTAATATTTGTAATGATTTATTTTTGTTCATGCAGCGAGAAACTCCTTAGCGCATGAGAAATATTAGAAATAAAAATAAAACTACTAGAAATTTAAAAAAAAAGAACTATTGAACAAAAAAAAAAAAAAAAAACCAATCGACTCAAGCAGAAATAGGTACCAATGCTGGAAAAAGTAACAATCTGGAAAAAGAAGGGTAATTTTACCCACCACGGAAACAATTTCAATACGACTGCCAAAA